TGTATCATCTGTTGTAGACCCAAATAAATCAAATCAAACTCATTCTCAAAAAAGAACGCCATTCTTAAAATGTATAAACGAACAATAGTTAGATTAATATTGATTAGAGTGCACAATAGAAATAAAATAATTGAGAGAAGAAAAAGAGATATGTTATCTATCAAAACCCAGTTAGATTAACATTCATTGGATTGCACACTTTGTCTGTTTGTGTGGATATGTAGCAAATTAACATGTTAAATAGCACTTAATGACTGACTGAATGGAAATGACAATAAATGAACATGTAAAACGGAAAAAGCGATCATGAAAATGTTTCCAATAAATGAATAAAATAATTTTTGACCACTTTGTTGTTCAGATATATCACATATTTGTAACTGAATGATGCATGAATTGAAACAAAACACAGTATGAACTGAGGAGTGAGTCCCGTGAGTTTCATGTGTTTTCTTCACTCCGCTGGGAAACTCTGCTCTCAAGCATCAGATCAGTGCATGCGCTGCATCGTCCAATCAGTGAGCGATACACAGTAAGGGGGCGGGGCGAGTGTCTGAGGATTTCATCGAAGGATGGTCTGGTGGTTCCTCGATTATAGCTCCTCCATTATCGCTCCTCGCTCCTCGCTCCTCGGTCCTCCGGCAAAAATAAGGCCATTGGGACGCTACTCAAGATGGCGCAGACAAATCAACTTCCGGTGAGACCGAGACCGAGGAGCGAGGAAATGAAAAATAAGAGAAGTGAAACGCAGCCAGGGGCTGCTTCTCAGGTCGATTAAATGGAATCCTTGCGTCCCTCACTTGCGTCGTTTCCCTGCGTTTAGTCCCTCCCACCAGGGAAGCATGGAGAGACGCAAGGAAACCACGAGAAGCAGGGAAATTAGTTTTAAGAGCAATGGGACGTCCTTTCCTCCGGAGCGTCACGTGAAGCGACGTCCGTTTGTGATGACACCGCACAGCTGATGTCTGACAGCAGCTCTGTCCCCGTTGTTTTCACACACACCCCTGCCTCTGTTAGTACACATTTACTGACATATACATTTGTATCATCTGTTGTAGAACCAAATAAATAAAATAAAATAAGAACTCATTCTAAAAAAAGATAAACGCCATTCTTAAAAGGTATAAACGAACAATAGTTAGATTAATATTGATTAGAGTGCACAATATAAATAAAATAATTCAGAGAAGAAAAAGAGATATGTTATCTATCAAAACCCAGTTAGATTAACATTCATTGGACTGCACACTTTGTTTGTGTGGATATGTAGCAAATTAACATGTTACATAGCACTTAATGACTGACTGAATGGAAATGACAATAAATGAAAATGTAAAACGAAAAAGCGATCATGAAAATGTTTCCAATAAATAAATAAAATAATTTTTCACCACTTTGTTGTGCGGATATCACATATTTGTAACTGAATGATGCATTAATTGAAACAAAACACAGTATAAACTGAGGAGTGAGTCCCGTGAGTTTCATGTGTTTTCTTCACTCCGCTGGGAAACTGCTCTCATGTCAAGAAGCAACAGATCAGTGCATGCGCTGCATCGTCCAATCAGTGAGCGATACACAGTAAGGGGGCGGGGAGAGTCTCTGAGGATTTCACCGGAGGATGGTCTGGTGGTTCCTCGGTTATCGCTCCTCCATTATCGCTCCTCGCTCCTCGATCCTTGGTCCTCCGGCAGAAATAAGAGCCATGGGACGCTACTCAAGATGGCGCAGACAAATCAACTTCCGGTGATACCGAGGACCGACGACCGAGGAAATGAAAATAGTCGACCTGAGAAGGACCCAGGGAGAAGGACCCAGGGGCGTCGCCTGGACCTGAAAACATTCGGGGCTTAGCCCACAGTGGCGGCGGCACTACAGTGGCATTTTTTACTGCAACACTCCCCACACGCACACACACAGTACACCCGCGACTGTTACAATGAAGGCTCGATAATCAGCTCACGGCATATAGGCAGGGGTAAAGTGGTATTTTTTATGAGTGGGGGGCTCACCTCCTCGTGGGGGGGTCCGGGGGGATGCTCCCCCGGGAAGATTTTTTTTTTAAATATTGAAGTTAAATGCATCAATCTGGTGCACTTTGAGAGCAAAATGAAGAGATCTATGGATACCTCTCTCAACACCCATATGAAGCAGAACTGTAAACAGATGTACTTTTTCTTTATGGATATTTTACTAATCACTCCTCTTTTAAACTCTATTCTTGTTTTACTGCCATATAGTATTTCATAACTGTTTTTCCTTTATTCTCTTTTTTTTTAATAACTATAATGATCATATTATACCGTGTGCCGCGGAAATAATCTTTTGAATAATTTGTGACCAAACCGTTTGAGACCCACTGAGATAACTTAGACTAAAGTTAACTATCTAAACCAGGGGTCGGCAACCCCTGGCACGCGTGCCAGCATTGGCACGCAGCACCGTAGCCAGTGGCACACTAGGAATAAGTCGAATAAGTGTGCAAAATATTTAAATTGTATTTTCGGATCCTGAACGAGACCGCCGCCAGAGCGCGTCTCCCCGTTACCTGCAGAAGGAAGCCATGCACGCAACGCAGCCCCGCTCTCTTTAACTCCAGGTGACTTTCTGCCGCTTTCCTCCGTGGTGCAGTGCTGATCGTTTCACCACGGAAGAAAGCACTTCACAAATTGCAGTACCCATAAGGAGCTTTACAAATGTCGCAGTTTTTGCGTGGCTGTGTGTGTCTTTAGTTGAAAGCCCAGTGGCGATCTGCTCATCTCTCATTGAAATAATATGCTACAAAGGGGCGGACTGGCCATCTGTGTGTTGAACTTTCCTGTCGGCTCCCAGACCGTAGTCGAGGAGGGCAGAAGCAACGAGCTTCAGGTTCAATAACCCACTTTAGCTTAAATGACTGGAGAGAGGCGAGCTCTTCTTGAGAGGCCGTTGCATTTATTTAGCTGTTCTTCTGTTTCACAAAATACATCACAGACCTCTGTTTTTCTGCTGCCTCGTTTCACTTCCAGAAACATACTCACACGCACACGCCACACCCCTCTCTCTCTCTCTTAAAGGGACAGCGATCTCATCTCACTCTGCATGACCCTAATATCATAACAGGTGTGTTCTGGAGAATCACAGAACGGACGATCGTCCTTATTATTATGCCGTTTAAACCAATTATTGAAATGTGTTTGTTAAATTCGGTATCATGTAAGTTGCGCTGACAGGTCCACACACTGCTTCCCCGCAGCCAGCGAGGCCCCCCCGCCCTCCTGTTGATAGATCACGAGCGTCAAGCTCCTCAACATCCTCAACACCCCCCCCCCCCCCCCCCCCCCCCGTTGATAATTCTCGATCGTTGGCACGCTGATAATTTTTTTTTTTTTAAATGGCACTTCATATCAAAAAGGTTGCCGACCCCTGATCTAAACACTCAGAGAGTCCTTTAGCTCACCTGAGTCTCTCAGTCTGTCAGCAGAGGACTCTCCTCCAGCTTGTTGTGGAACAAACAGCTCCTTATGTCCGTTAGTGCAGCTAGCTAACCAGATGCTAACAACACAGTCCATGCTGACACCGGTCTCTCCCTCCCCCTCTCTCCCTCTCTCCCCCTCTCTCTCTCTCTCTCACATGCGCTATTGCCACACACACACAGAGCCGAGCTTGAATGACACACGTTTATTTCCATGCAACTCTCTGATTGGTCTGGTGTCATGCCTCTGTTGCATTCACTGAACACGGGAAATTACAGTGCTGCCGTCCTCTCTTGTGTCATGATGAGGTTCACGTAAAGCACGGTTAATGTATTATATTATTGAGGGAGAATTGTCCGGGGCTACAGAAAAAACATGCGGGGCTAAAGCCCCGGATGCCCAGGCCAGGCGACGCCACTGGAAGGACCAGACAAGAAACAAGGAGGAAAACATGAGACAGGGAAAACAGAACAGCAAAATAAACCCAAACCTAGACATACAAAACTAAAAACGTGACATAACATAAGGATCGTGACAAAATGTACAATCAACAAATACACATTTATTTTTGTGATCTGACCAGTGACACAAAAGGAATAATTTGATGTAAAAAAATTAAATGTATCATCTGCTCACTATGTTAACCAAAGCCTTTTTGGCATTATACAAATACAAGGCATTTTCATGATCTAAAACTCCTCCAAGTACCACGTCTGCATGATGTTTAAGCATAAGATAATACTAAATCCCTGACCCTGCAATGCTATTTTCTACTTTTCTCTGCACAATAAAAAATTCAGAAGAGGTCTCACCTGAGAGGGATATGCACCCGGAGGAAGCGGCCACGATGATGTTGTGTTTATGCCGATCAGGTGGTGCATTGCATTCTGGTAAACATTTTAGCAGGAAACTCATTTTCCTTTAGTCAGGATACTTTGAGTTTCCAGTGCACGCTGGGTCATTTGATGTGCACTCACATACCTCTCAAAACAGAACCATAGTTCAAGCATGTTGACTTGCTACTACTCTATCAAGGAACCGTTTTTGAACACTTTAATAGTATATACATAATAAAATAAATAGTTCATAATTATTAGTTAACAGTCATATAATAATATGTGGGTTTTCTCCTCCAGCACAACACTTTGATAGCTCTTAATTCAACAACATTTCTTCTTTAAATGTCACACTATGTTTTATCACAATGTTTTTAACTGCTGAACCATCATTCTATGTAGCTCCACGTTTTCTTTGTTTGCCTTTCATTTTTGGAGAATAGTGTGCAGCGTTTTTTAAGAATTCAAGCCGTCTGGAAATTTGACAAACCCTACATTCTTAAAATGTCTGTAGAATTGCTGTGTATCATGGATTTAGGACACGCTGAGTCGTGTTGTCGTGAGAACATTTTTAATAATTAACCCTGCAGTATTTGCAGTCCAGTTTGTGTAATAAGTAAACATGAAGGATTTCCCGTCATGCTTGCTCTCTGGGTTACATCAGCGCAGTCTGAACCCACTCAGACAGGGGTGGGTGGATATTGCACAGAATTAATTGGTCAGTGATATCTTTATAACACTGACCTGAGAGCGATGAAGAGGAATCACAGCCATGATGAAGACTCTGTGTGTCGCTGCTCTTGTGCTGAGTCTCTCCTCAGTGTGCCAGCCTGCGTCGCTGGCCTGTGAGAAGCTGCTGCAGCCAGTGGACAAGGCTCCAGATGTAAGTCTCTTTTCACATTTATAACTCCCTTTGCGTTTTTCAAACTTTTTCACATGACAAAACTGAACTTAACCTACTGAATTGTCATATTTCCTTTTCCTGCAGTCTGTTATAGAAAAAGTACATTTTTCACTGCCATAATTTGTTATAAATAAATTGCCAGACATTTAAACAGTGAAAATAAATAAATAATGTTCTTCTTTTGTCATTCCAGTTATCTGGGAGGTGGTATGTCATCGCCATATCTTCGTCCTGTATATTACAGTTAGTTGCCAGTGTGTTATTGCCAAGTATTCACGTGGAAGTTACCTCCAAAGAGACACCAAACGTTTTCGATTACCTCATCAAAATGAAAATGTATGCAATCTTTTATCTTGAAATGGTGGTTTATTTGTTGGCATGAATGTTTAAAAGAAGGATCGTAACACACACTTTGAGTATTCATGCATAATTCATTATCATGTCCTGTACAAGCTTTTACAATCTTGGATAAACTTTTGCAGGCAAGGAGTATGCGCTAATGAAACAGAACAATTTTTCCAGGAGAACAACAAGCTCTTTGATGTAGATAGCAACAGTAAGTCTTTTTTTATTTATATTTTCTGCATGCAATGGTGTTTATTTGTTTCTTTATGTTTTGTCTCTGCTTTTTCTAATTTGTCTTTTAAGCTTTTACAATACATACAAAAAATAAGAAGAAAAGTATTCTTACCAATGCACAGTGTTCCTTTATGTAAACAATGATATTTGTTTTTTTTATCATTTTGATAAAAAAAAACGTGTTAGTGTGATTATAATATTAAAGTTTGATTGTATAGCATTTAATTTAAACATCCATTCTCCATCCATTTTTCAACAGACGCTGCAGATGGTGACCCTGATTTGCTTCTGCAGACTGGCTGTTCTGACTGCATCGTTTCAAAGGGGGACAGTGTCGTGAACATACTCGTCTTATTTAGTAAGAAATAGAAGAATGTTATACTACAATACTTCAACGATGGAGTTTATAATGATGTTATACAGTACAATATAGCTTAACAAGACACTCTTTATGTTTGAAATAACTGTCTGTCTAAATAACCCTGTCTTCACACTCTATTTGAAACACTTCACTTTCAGCTAAAGTTAGGTATGCTGCTGCTCGCTGATCTGGGCAGCCCTAAAAATGAACAAAAGCACTGAAAGAGTCTGTTTAAAGAAAGAATTTGTCCACTTTAAAGGATTGCCAAGAGTATTACAACTAATCAAGAAGCTAGAGGAATGTAATTTCACTTAAAAGTTGTTGAAATATTAAAGTCTGTATAAAGTGAACAACCAACACACCAACACTGTACCTACCTATACTGTACCTATTTTTTTCTAACATGTAATGTAGATATTCTTAGAAAGAATATCATCGCAAGGCTGTAATCTCAAATATGTCCCCTGCTCACCAGGCAGGAGACCAAACATCACCGCTGCTGAGCTGAAGGAATTTGAGACCCAGGCAGAGTGTCTCAGCTTGACCAAGCCGCAGGTTTTAGACTCAGATCATGGTGAGTCTTGACATCTTTCTTTTTTTGTCAATATATGAAAACAAGTACTGTCGTGATAGCACCACATGATGGAACCATGATAGTATCATGATTGTGATTATGGCAATGCATACAAATGTACTATGTGCTTGTAATTAACTGTCATTATATACAACATTTCTAATTTACTCTTTAATCTCCTTGCACAGATTTTACAAACTGCCTATCAGACGAAGATGAAGAAGCTGGGGCTAGTTTTCTTCGCAGCATTCAACAAAGATTGAATGACAATTATGCCATAACCCTCAAATGTATCGCTGAGTCTTCTCTGTATTACCAGAAGGCTGCCTTCGAGTGGGCTCAGGAAACATGGGCCAGTCTTTGGTGAATGAGCATTGGAAATGCAATAAAATCAACTTACACCCATCATGTTGTTCTTGATTCATTCCAATGTGTTAAGTTGTTTAAAAGGTAATTATATGGTTTGATTTGTTGTTCTAAAACTATAAACTCTCAAATCCAACAGGAACCCTTTGTTCTCTACTCAGGTTTTGGATGATCAGTGCCATTTTGGTAAAACAATTATAAATTCACTTCTCTTGGATAAATAGTATCATCACTTATAATTCACCAATAAACAAGGGTGATTTAACATTGATTTTCTTTATTTCTTCCTTTTTCTTTTCCTTTTTTCCCATGTTTAACAAATAAATGATTACTTCAATTAAATAAACTTTTGCAATGCAGAGGCAAATGCTTAGAAATATATTGATTTTAAGGAACAAAGTTCAGGAAAGCAAGTGTCCAGTTCACAAAGATTACATATTTTGCCAAGATGCATTCACATTCTGATATTATTCACATATCAAAATGTTTGGATCTAGGAAAAACAACTGATAAACTATGAATACAAAGATTTCTAAGGTAAAAACAGGCAGAAGCTAAATAAAATAATTCAAATAAATAGTATGAATCTTATAGATTTAACAATAGATAAATAGATACTTTATTTATCCAGATTTGGGAAATGAATTTGTTCCAGCAGCAGTGTCAATCATTACACCAGTAAAAAATGTTTAAAAGATACAATAAAATACAAATATAATACGAAAACAATTTAACTAGCGACAAGTATATAGTAAGAATACGAATAATTGTGCAAAATAGCTGTTGTGAAAATTGTTCTGGGTTATGGAAGAGGAGACACTTTACAAGCTATGGGGCAGTGAGTTCTCTGCCAGCCAGAGGTGAGTTGTTGTGCAGGTTAATGGCAGTAGGCAGGAATGTTTTCCTGCATCGGTCCTTGTGACAGGAGCTGGAGCAGTCTGCTGGAGAAGGAGCTCCGTTGACTGTCCAGCTGCAGGAGGAGAGGGTGGGGGTTATCCATGATGGACAACAGTTTGTTTAGTGTCCTCCTCTCCACCACAGCTACAAAACTGTCCAATTTGACGCTGATGACAGAGCCAGCATTCCTAATAACAATATGCTTATAAGCTTACAACAAAGAAGCAAACAAATCTTTCTTCACTTATTATTGGCCCCACAATGCTTTTACTGGTCCAAAGTGCCAAGATAACCACAATATTACCAGCACAGCATACGCCAACAATGAGCAGCTCAAAAAACGTGTAGATCACCACTCCCAAATCCATTGTGCCCTCAGCACCTTTTGATAGTTGATGGTCTATTGTCTCTGAGTGTTTGTCTAAGCCGGAATGTGCTCTTGTGAAAACGTTAAGGAAGTGATTAGCCTGTAAGCAGTTATTTTAATTATATATTAAAGATGCATTTAGTCTTAAAAAAGACCCAACCACAGTTGAGGTGTATATGTGTCAAAGATCAAGCTATCTGGCCAGAGCAGAGGAAGCCACAAAACCACATCCTTCATTGAATAGTGTGCTATACATCCAAACAGAACCATTAAAACAGAAAGCATCTTGACAGATGTAGATGATGTTTTGTTTATGCCGATCAGGTGGTGCATTGCATTGTGGTAAACATTTTAGCAAGAAATTCATTTTCCACTTTGTCAGGATACTTTGAGTTTCCAGTGCAAGTTTGTCAATCTCATACAAACCTCTCAAAAAAACAAGAACATAATGGTATGTCTTTTCATTATTTTTTTTGTGGTGTTTTTTTGTTGTTGAATGCTCTCCCCCCCCCCCTTTTCTGTTTCTCCTTCTCTGCAGGGCTTGTGTGTCAGGGGGTGTGGCTGGCATGCTCCTGGCTGCAGACGAGGCACATCTGTTCCCAATCACCTCATCAACCTGCTCCATAAAAGCCCACTCCTCACTCCACTACTCTGCCAGATGAGTTCTTGTAATTGGATGAAACAGAGTCTGTCTCTGCAGCCTAGAGCCTTGATACCAAGATCTCCAGTCTTTGGTGTGAACTCCAGGTTTTTTTCCCTTGGACAACTCTGCTAACCAGCTAGGTTCATAGCCATCACTGCCTGCCCTTTTGTGTGTGTGTTTAAAAAAAATGTAAAACCTTGTAAAATGTACCTGAATCAGCCTCTGCTTTGGGACCTTATAAACAACAGAGCGTCACAACATAGTTCAAGTGTGTTGAGTTGGTACTTTTCTAAGGAACCCCTTTTGAACATTTCAATATGTATATAAATAATTTAAAACAATTGTAATACTATTAGTTAAAAGTCAAAGAACGATATTTCGGTTTCTTCCACCATTACAACACTTTGCTAGCTCCTAAGAAGAAGACTTCAAATATAGATTCTTTTTTTTTTCAAAAACCAGATCCTACTTTTGGAAGATTTCTCCTTGAAATTGGTGTTACTCTCATTCATTTTGGGAGAATAGTGTGCAGTGTTTTTTAAGAATGCAAAGTGTCTGGAAAGGTGACAAAATGAAGTATACTCAAACCAATGTAAACACATACATTCTTAAAATGTCCTTAAAATCAGTGTGTATCATGGATTTAGGACACGCTGTTGGTCGTTAGTTGAAATAATTAACCCTGCAGTATTTGCATTCTTGTTTGTGTAATAAGTAAACATAAAGGATTTCCCGTCATGCTTACTCTCTGGGTTACGTCAGTGCAGTTTGAGACAGGGGCAGTTGGATGTTGGCACAGAATTAATTGGTCAGTGATATCTTTATAAAACCAACGAGAGCGATGAAGAGGAATCACAGCCATGATGAAGACTCTGTGTGTCGCTGCTCTTGTGCTGAGTCTCTCCTCAGTGTGCCAGCCTGCGTCGCTGGCCTGTGAGAAGCTGCTGCAGCCAGTGGACAAGGCTCCAGATGTAAGTCTCTTTTCACATTTATAACACCCTTTGTATCTTTCAAACTTCTTTTATTTGGCTTAACTCAACATACTAAATTGCCATATTTCGTTTTCCTTTGATATGTTGTGAAAAAGTTCAATGATCACAGTCACAATTTCATATTGAGGAAAACAAATTGCCAGACATTTAAACAGTGAAAATGTATAAATCATGTTCTCCTTTTGTCATTCCAGTTATCTGGGAGGTGGTATGTCATAGCCATACCTACATCCTGTTTTTGGCAGATGATGGCCAGAGTTTTATTACCAAGTGTTCACGTGGAAGTTACCTCCAAAGAGACACCACATTTCTATGATTTAATCGTCAAAGCAAAACTGTATGCAATCTTTTATCTTGAAATGGTGGTTTATTTGTTGGCATGAATGTTTCAAAGAAAGAACGTAACACACACTTAGAATATTCATGCATCATTCATTATCATGTCCTGTACAAGCTTTTACAATCTTGAATAAAACCTTTGCAGAGATGGAGTATGCGGCAACAATACCAAACGATTTTTCCAGGAGAACAACAAGCTCTTTGATGTAGACAGTAACAGTAAGAGTTTTTTTTATTTATTAACCGAATGCACTGGAGTTTATTTATTTATGTGTTTTCTCTGCTTTTCTCATTTGTATTTTAGGCTTTTACAATGCAAAATGTTACTAAATATAGGAAATACAGATTGGTCCTTTAAGCCAGCTGATAAGATTTTAAATAGTTTGTAGGACACTGAACAAGAGCTGTGACACATGTTTTTGTGATATTTTCATTTATTTAAATAATTAAAATAATATTTGTATTTCTATAATTTTGATAAGTGTGATTATGATATAAAAGTTTGATTGTATAGCATCTAAATCATGATTAACATCCATTCTCCATACATCTTTCAACAGACGCTTCACATGGTGTCCCTGATGTGCTTCTGCAGACTGGCTGTCCTGACTGCATTGTTTCAAAGGGGGACCTTTTCCCTGAAATACTCACAATTTTTAGTAAGAAAATAGAAGAATTATACTACAATATTGAAATGAATGGTGTCAATAATGATGATAAACATTACAATATAGCTTAACAAGACACTAATAGTCACTGCAGGAAGGCTATGTATTAACTTTGTTAACCTTGCTTCAGATTATTCATAATTATTTGTATTTGGAGTTTCCTATAAAAAACTTTATTCTGTAGAAATAACTATGTGACTAAATGAAACAATACTAAAGACACAGCATGCTCAAGGTTCAAGGTTCAAGGTTCTTTATTGTCAATCTGACATAGCTACAGAGTAATTATGCAGTTGAAAATCTTATGTCACAGGCTTCTCCAACAATGCAACATAATAACATAATAACAATAAGAGCAAGAGCAATACAAAAATAATAATAGTTATAAAAATGAAATAAAGTTATGATGTGGAATAGTGCTAGTGGCTCTTTGAGGTCGTATTTAGCAACAATGCCAGCATGTCAAAACACTACTATTAAAGAGGTACGGTGTAATGTTCACCATCTCATGTGTGTCATATATTTCATGATATTCCATCTAATAGTTTTTGATATATTAAAGTTTGATAACATGTAATGTAGATATTCTTAGAAAGAATATCATCGCAAGGCTGTAATCTCAAATATGTCCCCTGCTCACCAGGCAGGAGAACAAACATCACCGCTGCTGAGCTGAAGGAATTTGAGACCCAGGCAGAGTGTCTCGGCTTGACCAAGCCGCAGGTTTTACACTCAGATCATGGTGAGACATTATTTTTGTTGTCCATATGTGAAAACAAAGGGAGTACTGTCGTGATAGGACCATGATGGTGAGTGCGGCAATGCCATAAAAATGAACTGTGTGCTTATAATTAATTGTCGTTTAACTTTAAAATACAAAAATACGTTTTTTATATTGTAAATGCCATTATTTTTCTAATTTTCTTTTTAATCTCAATGTACAGATTTTACAAACTGCAGATCAGAGGAAGATAAGGAAGCTATGGCTATTCATCAGAACGCCTTTGTACAAAGACTCATGGACGTTTCTGGCAGCATCCTCAAATGTTAGCTGAAAGTTCGACAGTCATGGGGAACTTCACATCTACTGTATGCCATTATAATGGAAGATCAATGAGAATAATCCCCAGTTGTAATACTTAATTTCCTGCTCTGTCCTGAGGACAAGCGGAGGATGTTGTAAAACCACGACTAACATACTTCTAACAGTCCCCCTCCTCTCTGCTGCTGTGGAGGAGATTACCAATGGAATGCAGGCCTTTTTGGTCTGTAGATAGTTAACTCTCCATCCCCACAGAGTCTTAAACCCCCCCATATGTGCTATGCTCTCAGTCATCCCACCTTATCGTTATCAATTTAGCCACTCTTTGGTAAATGAGCATTGGAATTGCTATAATATCGACTTACACATGTTTTTCTAAAATGTTTCAATCCAATGTGTTAAGTTGTTTAAAAGTTAATTATATGGTTTGATTTGTTGTTCTAAAATGATAAACTCTCAAATCCAACAGGAACCCTTTATTCTCTACTCAGGTTGTTGATGATCAGTGTCATTGTGGTACAAAAATGATGAATTCACTTTTCTTGGATAAATAGTATCATCACTTATAAGTAATTCACCAATAAACAAGGTTGATTTAACATTGACTTTCTTTTTTTCTTCACTTTTCTTTTCCTTTTTCTCCATGTTAAACAAATAAATGATTAGTTAAATTAAAGGACACCTATCATGCTATATTTGAACAATATATTGTACCTATATAAAGTATATAAATATAGTTTTTTTTTTTTCAAAATACCAAACAGATTCTGCATTTTAGCCATGCCTCATTTCGCTCCATTTGCTCTTTCCAGCACTGTTTTTGCAGGGGGCTGATTCTGTGAGCTGCAGCTGACCACGCCCCCCTGCAGGAGAGGGGAGCGCGCTCTGATCAGCTGCTGGGCTGTCAGAAGAGGGGGGAGATCTCCGTCCTCCGTGTTTTATTATATTATTATATAGAGTCATTATTCATTTGTTTTAAAGCTCAATAAATAACCTTTGACTGGCACTTTTCAAATTTTGTCCCGAAGATTTAAACTTTAACGGACATCTTGACCGGCGAAAAAAAACCTAACTGAAACTCTGCCGCACGGTCCCCTCGTTCCTTGGAAGAGGCGGAGAGGTGGGTGTTTGTCATCTGCTGGTGGACTAACCGGAGATAATTACAGTGCTTGCCTCGACGGGGAGGGATTGCATTGAATTACAGCAGCAGGAGCAAACGTGTGCCTCGGGGAGGGAGAAAAAGAGCCACAGCGGAGAATAAACAGAAGGGCAACCATGGCAACCATGCGCGGGAAGTCTTCTTCGCTGCTTTTGTGGCAGACTACAGCGCCACTTACGGAGCGTCCACACAGCAGCGTTAAAAAAATCTTGGAACGCTTCTGCCCATTCACTTTGAATGGGGTGACGTCACTTTGCCTCACTTTTCGCCGAACTGCATTGTGGGCAGCAGAGCGGAGATTTTCAGGATTTTCAGGATTCAAAGTTGAGCAATGTTCAACTTTTGAAGCTGAGGTGGAAGCGTCAGCCAATCAAATCCCGTGTATGCAAATCTGACAGTTCAAGCGCTAGCCAATCAAACCGCGTGTATGCTGGGAGAGACATACCGCAGGTCATTTCCTCAAATTCCCAAAAATTGAGGAAAAATTAGCGGTAGGGAATCACCCGGTGCTTTATGACCAGTCCCTATTTACCTACCGGGATACAAACCGGAGGAGCCAGGCATGGAGGGAGGTGGCAGAGACAGTGGTAGGTTTTCGCCTGTTTGGGGAGTTTATATCCAGTTTACTTCGGGCTTTTTTGCTTCGTATGTCGGGGGCGGGAGATTCATGTGATTGGTTGTTGGTGCCTTGCTCACAAAAAATCCCCAAGCTTCAGATACGCCCACCTCCAAGATTTTTTTAACGCTGCTGTGTGGACGCTCCGTTACAGGCCTGGCATATGTACTACAGCGTCTCCAGCGCTTTCGAGCGGCAATGGCCGGCCGTGGCCCAACCCCACATTCCCCTGATAGGTGGAGAGTTGGCCCAATAGCCGTATAGCGCCACTGTCCTGACGTTAGTAAAGTGTTCAAATCTGGATCAGTTTTTATCAGATCCGTTGCAGCCACGTTTTTACAGATTTGGGTATGGAGGAAAATAGAGAGGGTTGTGTTTTCTGACACTTGGTGAGTTCCCTGGAACACCGGGGACACATATTCATGTATAAAAGACGTACAAAAGTGCATTTTGCATGATAGGTCCCCTTTAAATAAACTTTTGCAATGCAGAGGCAAATATTTGGAAAGATATTGATTTTAAGGAACAAAGTTTAAGTTGAGCAACAGGTGCAGTGCAGACCCTGAGCCAGGATTTCAACTGTATAACTCTCTAACCCAAACCTTGCAAAGAGTGGAAGAAAGTAGTTGAAAACATTTATAAATGTTCTGCATCGGTGAAAGGTTTATCTGAATAACATCATATTTGTGATGTGTTTATAAGTTATCCCAACAAGATGTGGTACAGTCATTTGCATTTCCAGTATGTGTTTTAGGGAGGTTTTTGTAATACATAGTGTAAAGAAATCTTCTGAAACAAGGATTCGAAACACAATGAGAACACAGGAGAGCCTGACTGGATGGCAGACACTGAAGTTTTATTGGAAGTTACAGCCGGAGAATTGAAAAAGAGATTTGCTGCAGCCACCGAGTGACACGGCTCCAGCCTGGCCAAGTATTTATCTAGTTCTAGACAAAACTATTTTCAAGGAATGGCCCCCTGAAGTCGCATGCTCAAACGTTGATGACAGGAGAAAGTGATAGTTGATACGTGATGTCAAATCATAAGAAACACCAATCAATATAGTCAAATAAAATGTCACAGGACAAATACAGCTTCTTTATTACCCTCAGAATGGATTAACATCACTGAGACAAAACAAATACAAATATTATGATACGTTTTGTGGTATTGGATTGCATTATATTTAGTTAAAACACATTTCAAATTTACGCTGTGAATTTAGCAAAACATGGTCTTATTTGATGTTGACACACAATGTTCCAGAGGTGAAACATTTTTACACTGTCTTCAAAACAAATGTTTACGTGTCACTGTTGAACGTAACGGTGAACAATCTAAAACCTAAATCTGCTTTGTGTAAGCATCGCTGCCACATAGATGTGTACATTATACTGCAAAACACAACATTTATTAGTTTCACAACACAAGAAATAAATAGGCTTTTCCGACTGGTGACTTTTTAATATGTTGCAGTATAGGAAATACACAGAAACTAATGGACGCCTCTGTTTTATCTTTTGTTTCTGCTATTCTACATGCTGGCACATTTTCATTTGAGAGCCATATAAATGTTCATAATAACAAACTACTTTAGCTTTTCCAAACCATGTCAACCCAAAATGTCTACAGTGAAAGAATCAAGATGAATAAATCAATCTAGTCTAATGAAATCCAGTCTGATTATATCTGATACTACTGCAACTACCTGGATTCACCTGGGGCAAAATATCTGTCATTTGAGCCCAGGTTTGTTTTGAGGCAATACAATCAAACACAAATTGATTTAGTTATAGCAGCAAATAAGAACAACGTTTCAAAATGAAGGATCCTTGATGTAGTGCTTCACTGCTTATTCCGTAATTTTGTTGATTACATTTTAGTGAGCAGCATCACACATTAAATTAAATTAACATAAAAACATCCATCCTGCATCCAAACCCTAACTAAAGCAAAATAAGACAAATATTGACATCAATATCCAGGCTACCTAACAAAAGTAAGAGTCCTATATACTTCAGAATTGTGTGCATTATACCACCAGTATTTATGTAACAGTAATTATCTTTAATTATGCTGGGTTACATTTGCCTATAGAGGCGTATAAAAAGTAGCATAAAATGGAAACACTCAAGTATAAGTGATGTGCTTGAGTAAATTACTGTAGGCCTACTAATATAATGAATGTACACGGCTCCTTCTGTTGGAATAAGTTATGCTACCTGTAAATATCTGTTCATCATTTTTCTTTTTTAAAGTAATATCTTTTCTAATATTTATGTGTTTTTAAATGATTGTGTCTTTTAGGCTACCGTTTTTGTTTCACATTGGGTTATTGTTTTACATACAATGATAGGCTACATCTCGATAGACTTAACAAAAAAAAGATTCTTACATCAGTTACATTCCCCCATTTCCGGTAAAAAGCAACAACCACCTGCTATTTAAGGATTGTTTACAAATCAACATATTTGAAACCACTTTTACTTTAACTCATAGAACCAACAGCAGCTGTTTGATTGACAGATGATCTTTAGCCTTTAATGTGGTTGCCTAGCAACGCCAACTCATGAATCTAGTTAGCTGCGTTGCTTTGAATGCTTTCATTTCATTACACTTTAAATAACGTTTTAAAAATGTAAGTTATTGGTGTTTTTGTTTTTAAAATATAAAAAATGTGTTTACATTTTCCCTAAAACGGCGCAACAAACCCGGATCTTTCGGCTCTAGGACCCAGGTGCGGCAGCCACCAGACACCGGTTGATGAGATGGACCAGTCGGCATTACACATCTGATTACCCGACACAGAGAGTGGTAGTTCGCTCCGGTCACAGTGGTCGGAGGTAAACTTACCATACGGAATAACAACGAGAGAAGCGAGAGCATTTTTCCGCTGTCTTTGTCCGTCAGTCACCCAGTCACTGTGGCAAGAAGACCCGTCGCTTGTCTCACCGGGCGACAACCATGAGCCTGAGGTTCACCGTCTCCAAGAGCGACGGCGACCGGCGCCCCTCAGACATCCAGGGGGAGGTGAACCAGCTGTTTGAGGGGGACGAGCCCAACACCAGCACCGCAGCAGAGGGAGAGGATGCTGTCGGTTCCGAGGTGGTGGTAGAGCTGAAAGGTAGGGAGACACTTAAGCCGGCTCCACTGTTTGTTAGCTATACCATTACCAGGCTATATGCTAGCAGTACTGATGCTTGACTCCTGATCACATTGTCTATGAACAGATGTGTGTGACTTGAATTTGTAATGGGCACAGTCTGGCAGATAACAAAGGCGCAGCAAAGGGCACACATTTCCCTTTTCCCCCCACTTGACATCATGTATTGTTACAGGTGCATTGCGCAAAATATGCATGGGAGTTGCATGCCTATGTAGACAAACAAAATGGGGGTGTGTTTTGCCAGTGTTGCATTCATTCAAACATACAAACATTTGTTTTTTTAAGTAATTAGTGGTCTTAATGAAGGGCGTCAGTTAGCATCATTGTATGTGTAACCCCTCAGTTATGAGAGAGTATACAGATAGACTATATGCTCTTCATATTTCCATCTGATGCCTAGAACTGTATGTGGTCTGATTCATACAGTTTATGTATACTTTCACTTTTTACATTTAAGTAGTCAAATGTGGCTCTTGAAACCACTGCATGTGAGGAAATGACATATTTCAATAGCAATTATCTTTAAACCTTGTATCTTGGATAAATCTTGGTGTGTTGTCTGTCTGTACCTTTTGTCGTAGTTCAAATTGTTTCCCAGGTTAGTGCATACATAAATCAGGACAATCCCTGTGCTCACCATAAGGATACATTTAAAGAA